CAGATCGATGCCCATGCTCTTGATCACTTGATTGTCTGGTCCAGACTCGATTATTTACAAACCGCCGCCAAAGAGCTGGTATATTGCTGAGTGCGACGTAAATTACCAAAATGTGTCACGACTACGGTATCGAATAGTCATTGCAACTCGATCGGCAACGGGTCTTCCTCGGCTTTTCCCGGTCTTAGGCGATGTTGTACTTCATAGCCATGTGCTTCGACTTATAATCGTGTGGTAAATATTCACGTAGTCTCTCTCCCCCCCTAAAAAAAACATAAATAAAAATAAAATAATAATCATAAATTTTATATATATTTATATATACATATAATTTTTAAAAATAAATAAATAAGTAAAAAGAATAATATAAAAATAAAAAAATAAAATAAAAAACAAATGACCTAATGAGTCTTAAACAGATAATATGCCATCTATGCTAACAGATAACCACAATGATTAATATACCCTGACATTGAAGACCGTTTCATTGTGAGTGATCAAAAGCTGCCTAAAATGTTTCAAAATTTCATTTGATACCTGTAAAATTCTTCCTAACAGAAACTGTACATTGGACTACATCAATAGCGCAGATATAACAATGGTGGTCAATATCCCATCAGAAGTGCAAGCGTTCCATGTCGGTGTATTATCGGGTGGTTTTGTCACCGACTAGTTAATTGGCTGCACACAATGCAAGCTCGCCGACATTTCAGGAAAATAACACTATGATTAATGAATATTCTTTAAAAATCTACCACTCTGTTTTGGGCATTTCAAAGTGGTTTTAAAAAACCCAACTTGATATTTACCTTTGCTCCTGACACAGATTGTATAAAGCCTATAAATCGTTTGTGGCTGGATTGTGGAAGGCTCTAGCACAAGAGGAAAGTTGACTATTGACCATCGTGCACTTACCGTCACCGCGAAGGTATTTTACGTGCTCTTCTTTCTCCACCAATCACGAGCTCGGATTTTCTAAGGCTCTCATACCCCTCTCAGACGATGACTGTGACCATCCAGCTCGTTAGGATTTGTGGTCGAGCACACAATGTCTCTGGCAGCAGTTGTACAGTGAGGAAAATGGTTTGTGCAAATCGTCCAAACAAACACTTATTAACGGTAACGTACATGCGCGTGTGTTTGAGGAAATGTCGAAGTTAATGAGAAACGTTCCTGGTTAACCACGATCACCAATATTCCAGCACTCTCGCGACGGCCTGTAAATAATCGGGTCAGGATCAGACGATCCAGTGATTAATACGGTGAAGGAAGCGGTACGAAGACACGCTAAATACACGTGTGTGTTTTCAGACGTATCGAACTAAATGAGAAATATTCACTGTTCTACCAGTCAGCAATATTTCAGCACTACATTATCGGGAGGGGGTGCACACAACACAGCGGCTGATACTGCCAACAACTGGGACACTCAAGTGTGAAGGTACTGCAAATGAAAGTCCGCGATTACATCATCTTGTATACATACATACATACATACATACATACATACATACATACATACATACATACATACATACATACATACATACATACATACATACATACATACATACATACATACATAAACATAAAATGTAACGTTGTATTCGTAACGTTGAAAAGATTATTGTCATGAGTTCAATACATGATAAAAATCAGTGACAATTGCCGAATTCTTAACAAAACTTCACACCAAAACGCAGCTGTTCACATGTACGATATTTGCACATGCTTTTCGTGCAATTCATCTGTATGAGGTTTGCAGTTGGTTTCCCAAAGTTAGTGGTAAAATCAATCTTCGATGTAACACGAGGGTGAGATTCTATTTATCATCAAAAATCTTTCTTCTATAGTTTTCATTGAAAAATGTACATCTCTGAACACTGTTCTGCCATTAGGCCTGCAGTGCAGCGATGTCATAGCATTGTGATGCCATCAAGTTCATGACGTCATAGCATTGTCAGGGCATTGTACAAAATCTACTGTCAAACGATACCTCCTGGGAGATATCGTTTGATCTCCCACAAGCAATGTCTCCTGTGGAACACAGTTTTGGATGATAAATATCCATAACATATATTGAGTGTTTTAATTGAGTCTAAACTTTTGAAAGGAAGTATATTTTTGTCCCCCGCCGCAACGCGGAACGGGGGACTATGTATTCAGCGGCGTCCGTACGTACGTACGTCCGGATTCTTGTTACCGCGATATCTCATGAACTGTACCGCGATTTGGTGACAGCCTACATTGGAGGATTTACACAGACACCAGTCGATTGGGGTGACCTTGACCTTATCTTCAAGGTACCCGACACTCACTTTTCAAACTCTTGTTAACGCAAATCTCGGACTGTTGTACCCAAGTCTTCAAATTCGGTGTCTTCAAATTTGGTGACAGCCTACATTGGGCGATTATGCAGACATCAGTTGATTTGGGTGACCTTGACCTTATCTTCAAGGTCACCACGACACTTTGCACATTTAGAACACTTTTCAAACTCTTGTTAACGCGATATCTCATGGACTGTCGTACCCAATGTCTTCAAATTTGGTGACAGCCTACATTGGGGGATTACGCAGACACTGCTTTATTTAGGTGACCTTGACCTTACCTTCAAGGTCACCACGACACTTTGACCGCTTTTCAAACTTATTTAAACGCGATATCTCATAAAACATTGCACCCAATGTTTTCATGTATGTTGACAGTTGGGTGATTATGCAGACACCAGCCATTTCAGGCATCTTTTATGTGACCAAAAAATAAAAAGTAGTAAATATAGATATTCCAGACGGGGGACATTGCCATATCAGTGGCAAACACTTGTTCTAGGTTTATCTCCACTGGCAGGTCAGTCTTCAGATAGTGGGCCTTTGGAGTTGGTAGGTTGCACGAGAAAATGACGCTTCTATTTTCTCATTAAACCCCCACCACCCCATGACATTGACTATCGCCGGTGTGAACTGCTTCTCGTCACTTGTGTCCCAGAATAAACCCACAGAGATAATGACTAAACTTGTCATATTGTTTTACTGGCTATACTGGCACATAAAGCAAATATTCAATGCGAATCGTTTGAACAGCTTATTGCGATATACCACTAACGCCGTGCAGTCCTAGGAAATTAACACCGCACTTGAACATGGACACCCTGCCCAGACACGGTATTCTGTCCCCGTGCCGATGAGTCTTCATGTCGTGATACCGAGAGCCAGGCAGTGTAACAAATAGCATCATCATTTAACGTCTTTTGGTATGATGCGTTCGAGGATCCAGTCTCAAACCTCCTGTTTCCAGGACACTAATCCAGATAGACTCAGGCGTGGACCAGGGCTCCAGATAAATTTTCAACATCAGGAGTACGTACTGTTTTTGTTCAATATTGAGTACTGGATGGAAGCTAATGGACTATCAGTAATCTTGTGTTTCGTTTCATATATGCACCACAGCATTGTTACTCTTGTGTAAACAGGTCAATAAACAATAAAGCAATATTTTCTTTGCAGATAAATACGTCTGTAAATGATTCTAAGACCGTACACCATTGCTGTGGTGAGTATCTGCTACGTTTTCTAAATTATTTCCTACCGTATCGTGCATATTTATTATCCGTACATACGCCAATACGGCCCTTATCTGGAGCCCTGCGTGGACTATTTGAGTTTTGTCGTTATGTCAAGCCAGTGTGGCAGAACTTGTTACGCTTGTTTGGTGCAACACTTACATTTACCCATCCTCGATAATCTAAAGGGTATACGTTACGATCAATCTCCACTATACCCTGGATGCATCCACGGCTTTATTACCTCCCTTGGCTGGCTTTTTATCCAATCAGGTGTCCACGCTGGGAAGTTGAGCGTACCAATCACAACTCACTTTCGCTTCTTAAATGATCTAACCGTTTAAACTTGGCAACACAATTGATGCAGAGGTACTCTGAAAGCGGTAGGAGTTCTTTCATATATTTTTTTAAAAGTTTCAGATCTGTCAATTTGTCAGTATTATTTCCCCCAAAATCTGAGTGGCACTGCGAACAAACCTTCGCGACTGCGACCGCTATCTTTGTTGACACTGGCAAGCTCGGTTGTAACGGCGGCTTAGCTGATTGGCTACTGTGAGAATGCGGATCCAGCCAAGGGAGGTAATAAAATTAGCCGTGGATGCATCCAGCGTATAGTGGAGTGGAAATTTTATTTTGTATATAAATTTCACATTGTACATGCTTCTCCATAAGAATCATCAACCCCCCACCCCCACCCCTCGGGCCATAAATTATTAAATTATGAACGGTCCCTAAAGCCGATTATAAATCGGTTTAGTCTATTTTACTTCTGAAATGGCTTTTGTTCTCTGCACCTGAGGTGACCCAATTTTGTGGTGGGGGTTTGATGACAAGTGGCCTGTTGTGGGTGGTTTGAGCATAGTATCACGGCACACAAGGTTGAAGCCGAGGGTTTGTTCTCAATAACCTCATCCTCAGTCCTCCAGTGTATAATCCCAAACCTCATCATTCTATTCTAACCAATTACCTTTTAAGTTTCAATAACATGATAAAACTGTCTGTCGAATGGAATGACACTGAAGAGCGAGAACCATTTGGTGCAGTAAAGGCAGTGAGTTTAGTTTAACGCCGCTTCTAGCAACATTATAGCAACATCAGGGCGGGGACACCAGAAATGGGCTTCACACATCTGTGCTGTAAAGGGCAGAGATGGTGAAGTTACGTCCCAAACAAACATCTGTCAGTGAATGAGTCCAGGGTAGATTTCATATTGGAATGATGATATAATAGATCACAGCCTTTACCAGAAATGGGCTTAACACTTTTTACCCACGTGGGGAATCGAACCCGGTTCTTGGCCGTGACGGGTGAAAGCTTTAGCCACTAGGCTACCCTGGTTGAATGTTTTCAATGTGTTTCTTTTTATCTATCATTCCTTGTTGATAATGAATAATTGTGTAAACTATTTCCAGTAATCACAAGACAAGAACCTTCACTGGGGGGGTACTGTTTATTACCAATTAGATGCATACTGTCTGTTGAAGGAACTTTACAATCAGCACAACCATTGGCAAGAAAACGAAAAGACTTCCAGCAAATGTAGACTTGAGAGGCATTGGGCACCACACTGAGAGGTGCAGCTGACAGCCAGCTTGGCCATTTTCACATGTCATTTAAATACCACCCACATTCCTTTCAAGCAAATCATGTTTCCATAGGTGTTTGTGAGAAGAATAAGTAATTCCATAGTCTTTCAAATAACTATTTCATATACCCAACTGCAGAAGTTTCTTTTGTGCCAATATTCCTACTTTGATTGTCATACCACTGATTTAAACCAAGAAATGAACAAAGCAATGTTCCCCACTGTCAACTTGAAAGAAACGAATTAGCAAGGGGAGATAACTCACACCTTGGTCTGGACCAACAGTCTGGCACATTGCCAGTTTCTGCACTCAACAATTGACACCCAGAAATAATCACAGTAAGCCTCACGTCTTTTGTTTTCCATAAATTCTACTTCTACAGGTTTGAGATTCCAATCTTAGAAAGCAAGTCTGTAATAGGTAAGGAAACATGAGTTAAAAAAAAAAGCAATCAATATTCTTGATCTGGGCCCATAAACATAAATGAAAGGCCCTGAGTATGGATAATAAACAGTTTAATGACAACTTGATGATGGTGAAAACTAAAAGTAAGGCGAGGTGTGATCTAATACTAAACTGTCATTGACAATACTGGAGATCTACAAAAGGCAAGCTCTTGCTATAGTTCACGGCCAACCTATCATTGGTGAACTCAACCACCACAAATTCTACAGGAACCTCTGGAGATGTTTCATAAATGGTGACACTCTATGAATAAGCATAAAAGAAAAAGCTAACAGTATGTTTCTATTTTTCCAGTCAGTTTCCCTCATAGTGAGTTTAGTTATACACTGCTTTTAGCAATATTCCAGCAATATCACGGCAGGGGACACCAGACTTGGGCTTCACACATTGTACCCATGTGGGGAATCGAACCCAGGTCTTCAGCGAACACTTTAACCACGAGGCTACTCCTCCACCCAGTTCCCTTATAGTTGTTTAAAGATAAATAGAGAGGAAACAGTTTCACAAAAACAGCTTCATACTGAAGAATCATTATGAAGCTTGTTACATTATTTCAATGCGTATATAGTTTTCAGCTTGTGTTAATTGCACTATTCATTGCACTGAGGACCTTGAAGCTGAGGCAGGCCCTCTCTCCGTCTACAACAGGTACAGTACAGGACAGGCACTGCATCAGGAACTCTCCAAATTATGCAGTGTCAAACTCACACACACATTTACTTAACACTGTGAATAACCTGCTTACTTTTGACTTATTCAAACATGAACTATGACAAAAGAAAGAGTGAGTGAGTTTAGTTTTACGCCACACTCAGCAATATTCCATCTATATGGCGGCGGTCTGTGTGGACCAGACAATCCAGTGATCAACATCATGAGCATCGATCTACACAGTTGGGATAGGAAGACATGTGCCAACCAAGTCAGCGAGCTTGGCCAAAAGAAAGATTCTGAATATGTATGGTTGGTGTCATGGTTTGATTCTGATGGAATTTATTTATAAAATGTATAAAAATTGAGGAACTACATTAATTATGCCTGTTTGTTGACTGACCTCAAACACCACACGGAACATCTACTTGGCCAATCCAGACATTTCTGAGGGCAGCCAGACACTTCTGAGGGCAGCCAGACACTTAAGACATATTTTCCACACATCAATGACACTGACTGTGAGAAGCTGTATACATATAAACACCAGGTGTTCGACCAGGCAATACGCATGCGCCATATAAAACACATGACCTGGAAACGGTCGGGTGTTCCACTTGTTGAGTGTCCACATACACACAATTCTGCGTACAAAAAGTATTCATTTTTCTAACTTCAAATTAATCACAAATGTACGATTTTAAAAATAGTTACACATTTCGTTACCTGTGTAGATGCATAACGATAAACCATTCCTGGAAATTTGTCCAATAACATTAAAATTGTAAAAGATAAAACACTCTGAACCTCAGGTAGAGAATGGCATAATTCATGGTGTGATTTTTCTAATGTATAAACAACAAAAAATTAAAAAAACAATTTGGTTGAAATGACATCCTACGTAACAAATGTAAAAGCTTAATCCATGTATATGTAATATCTATATACAGACAAGATCAAAGCACTGCTTCTATAGCATGAGTCAGGATTAAGTCAAACATGGTCTAAGGTCTTCTGAAAAGGTAATTGCTGGTAAACACTATCAACACTAGAGCTACACCTAGTTCAGACAAAACAAAGGCCTTGGAATATCCATAAGTTTGATCAATTTCATAATTTAACTGCAATTTCAAAATAAGACTGAAAAATCTTGACCTTCAAATACAATACATATTTTTCTAGTTTAACAAGATCTTGTTCAGAGTCAGAACATACCGTTACGGCAATGCACATCAATGGCCAAGTATTCTAACATGTGAATGAAAGATGTTATCTACAAATCTATGTCCTATACAGAAACTAATGAAGCAAATAAATAAAGTAGGCAGCAGGTAATATGAGTGAAGAAATCCTAACAGAATCATCTTCAACACTGTTCAATGGGAGGTAACTCCAGAAACTGGTCCAAGGGAGGGTACTCTGCACAATGCAAGCATGGTTGCACACAATCTACGAAGCTCTACATAAGGTGTGAACATTCCTGTAATACTGTGGACAGGAAGTGTTGTGTAGAAGGTTGACCGTGTAATCCTTTCCTTCATCTGTATAGTCACTTTGTTTTAAGTCCTGGTCAATGACACACAAACCCTTGTTGTTCACACAACTGAGGGCTTCAATCTTTCCCGGTGGCGTTTCTTTCGTACTGCAAAATAAGTGGAGAAATGTCAAGAAGGAGTATTTGCTTGCAGATGTAGAGTTGAATTGTTCAAGACAAACATATATCCACTTATTGTAAAACATCGGGTACTCTAGTCTTCAGAGTCTCATACATTTGTTTTGGTATGGGTGTTTACTGAAGTCCGTTAAGCTCAAAATCGGACCAATGAATTGCAATCTAACTTGAAAACTACAACCATATAATACACAATGAAACACTGATAATAATCAAAACATCAGGCCAACTCTGTCATTATTTTTGGCTGTTCCTCTCTTGCAGTCCTCTCTAGTAACAAATAGTGAACTTTGTCAAAATTTTAATGATAGTTTGTTAAACAACTTTTTTTTTATTTTTAGGACATAAATTCTGCAATAAAATCACAGAGTTGGTCTGATGTTTTGATTATAATCAGTGTTTCATTGAGTATTATATGTTTAGTAGTTTTCGAGTTAGACTGTAATTCATCGGTCCACTTTTGAGCCAAACGAACTATATGATTACTTGTGATGGACCCTATCTCAGTGTCAATGTTATGCACTCTGGGTGGTCAGGCTTGCGGATTTGGTTGAAATGTCCAGTGTATGAAATAAGGCCTGTCCGAATGCCCGAGATAGGTTAGATTTCTGACGCACGGTCTAAATTTTTTAGCCCGATGGTCTGGTGACAATTTTAGATGTTCCATAAATCTGAGTACATTCACCATATCATAAAATCTATTTTTCAAACTGAGCGTTACATTTAGACTTGACATTAGTTGACAATTACTGTTTCAGCATTGAACTACCGTATCGCAAGCTTAAAACACTGCATTGACATATATTATCACTAAAACAGCGACACCTATTGATGCATGGACTTCTGCAAACTTGGAGTTGGATTTCTTTGAAAATAACTGTAAACTTATTTTCTTTGGATTGTCTGGTCTGGTTCAATCCAATTTGGGCTGGTAACATTTTGATATTAACAGCCCTGATGTCTATCTGGGATTTTGGCTTATTTCATACACTGACGTATCATATACCAATTGCATAGATAGATACTCATGATATTGATCACTGGATTGTCTGGTCCAGACCCCCAACATATAGCTGGTATATTGCTGAGTGTGGCGTTCAATAAAACAATGTAATGTCATTATTGACACATTGTGTTAACGTCACTGTATAGGTGGTGATATCATATATCACTGAATAACTGCTGATGTTACATATAAACATGATAAATATCACAAAATAACTGATATCATACTGGTGATATCACTAACATAAAATAACTAAATAACTGATGATATCAAACAACTGTAACATTAATGAACATTTTGAAAATGCCATTCATATCTGTGATGCTTGTTGTTTGGATACGATATATACAAAGACTGACTAGGTGGTGCTACTCACGGGCATCGTAGTTGGCCTTCAACTTGTTTATGACTCGAATCCTGGGGTCGGGGAACTCGAAGGTCAGACCAAACCTCAGCAGTGTGTTATTCTCCAGGATCAACTTCAGCAAGTTCATCTCCACCTGATTGCCAAGCAACTCTGGTTTCTGGGGAAAACAGGATTGCAGATTCAGCGAGGATTATGTCACTCAAAGGACACAGGGGTCGTCCTGAACCATTGACCCACTGTCCTGAACCACTGACCCACTGTCCTGAACCATTGACCCACTCCTGAACCATTGACCCACTGTCCTGAACCATTGACCCACTGTCTTCAACCATTGACCCACTGTCCTGAACCATTGACCCACTGTCCAGAACCATTGACCCACTGTCCTGAACCACTGACCCACTGTCCTGAACCATTGACCCACTCCTGTCCAGAACCAACCATTGACCCACTGTCCTGAACCATTGACCCCACTGTCCTGAACCATTGACCCACTGTCCTGAACCATTGACCACTGTCCTGACCACTGTCCTGAACCATTGACCCACCCTGTCCTGAACCATTGACCACTGTCCTGAACCATTGACCACTGTCCTGAACCATTGACCCACTGTCCTGAACCATTGACCCACTGTCCTGAACCATTGACCCACTGTCCTGAACCATTGACCCACTGTCCTGAACCATTGACCCACTGTCCAGAACCATTGACCCACTGTCCTGAACCATTGACCCACTGTCTGACCCACTGTCCTGAACCATTGACCCACTGTCCTGAACCATTGACCACTGTCCTGAACCATTGACCCACTGTCCTGAACCATTGACCCACTGTCCATTGAACCATTGACCCACCATTGACCCACTGTCCTGAACCATTGACCACTGTCCTGAACCATTGACCACTGTCCTGAACCACTGTCCTCAACCATTGACCATTAAACCACTGTCCTTGAACCATTGACCACTGTCCACATTCCTCAACCATTGACCCACTGTCCTGAACTGTCCTGAACCATTGACCCACTGTCCTGAACCATTGACCCACTGTGACCCCACTGTCCAGAACCATTGACCACTGTCCAGAACCATTGACCCACTTTCCTGAACCATTGACCCACTGTACTGAACCATTGACCCACTGTCCAGAACCATTGACCCACTGTCCTGAACCATTGACCCACTGTCCAGAACCACTGACCCACTGTCCTGAACCATTGACCCACTGTCCTGTCCTGAACCATTGACCCACTGTCCTGAACCATTGACCCACTGTCCTGAACCATTGACCCACTGTCCTCAACCATTGATCCACTGTCCTGAAGCATTGACCATTGACCCACTGTCCTCAACCATTGACCATCTGTCCTCAACCATTGACCCACTGTCCTCAACCACTGACCACTGTCCTCAACCATTGACCCACTGTCCTCAACCATTGACCATTGACCCACTGTCCTCAACCATTGACCACTGTCCTCAACCATTGACCCACTGTCCTCAACCATCGACCCACTGTCCTCAACCATCGACCCACATTCCTGATCCCCTCACCCATGCCTTGCCCAATGTCCCCAGGCCTCACATTCTGTCCCCTCCCTTCCCCTCAACTCACCTGGTTGGCAACTCTCAACTCTGTGACGACCTGATTGGTGTTGATGGCCCTCATCAGCCGCAACAAACATTCTCCGCTGATGTAGTTGGACTCCACATTCACTGTCCGCAGTGTCTTGTTCTCCTCCAGTGCTTCTGCTAATTTCTGCGGACCAATTTCAGAAATTTACCACTTATAACAATACTATTGCAATTGTTTTTCTTCTCCTTGTTATGTCTCATCTGAAGTCATTTCCCAAATGAATGTATAGTTTATATGAAATAAAGACAAGTTGAACTAGTTTCAGTCTCTTTTGATATCTGACAAGTAACTTGAAACCCAGTTCAAGTGAACAGTTAAAACATAAACTCAAGGAAGCTGCAAGTCTACACCCAAACATCAATCAACGTGGGTCAATTACTAAACTACTATCGATCGACACACCATTGATGCATCAATAGTTTTTCATTTCTACCATCGATTAATTGCTATCAGAGACTCAACAATTGCAATACATTAATAGTTCAATACATCGTTACAGCCCTACTATCAACATCTTCCAGTTGGACAGTATGATGTGGTGAATGCTGACCTGGCAATAACTAATGTTAATGTTGTACATAAGTGGGGCCATTACCTTGGCTACCTTGTCCGTTGCTGCCACACCGGCCATCTCGAACACTTTCACTGTGGTGTTTGATTTTAAGGCCTCGCATACATTAAGTAACTGCTCGATAGAGAGATTCTGAAACAAAGGAACACAAATAGCAAATGAATATGGTTTCACTATTAGTTCCTTTCCTCTATAAACCATTCAGAACATGTTTACAATAGTTGTTGTTTCAGTTAAACCATTCAGAACATGTTTACAATAGTTGTTGTTTCAGTTAAACCATTCAGAACATGTTTACAATAGTTGTTGTTTCAGTTAAACCATTCAGAACATGTTTACAATAGTTGTTGTTTCAGTTAAACCATTCAGAACATGTTTACAATAGTTGTTGTTTCAGTTAAACCAAACTATTTAATGCATGATGCCATAGTTCTTTTAGTGATTATGCAATTCTTTCTTGAAAAATGTCTTCTTTCTGTTAAGGATAGCAGTACCAGGATGGACACACTAATAGATCAGCCATAAATGCATGTGTGTATTATGTAAGCTTCAATATAAATATAACATGGGCTGCCTAGCTGATCTTACCTTGATATTGTTGAGGTTAAGGTGTATAAGCTTGGCGTCATTGCTCTTTATCTGCTCTATGCTCTTCTCAACATCAGTGTCATTCATGGGCTCGTCGGGGACAGCCTTGAACTGCTGTGCTCGTGCATGACCTGCAGCAAACACAATCATGTTAAACACAGCGGCACTCAACTGAACAAGTAGGTACTGTAACAGGAATACACCCACGGTTTCTTCAGACACCATGACAGGAATATCCCCATTTTATACACATTGTCTTCCTAACGACCACAGGAATATCCCCATTTTATACACATTGTCTTCCAAACCACAGGAATATCCCCATTTTATACAGATTGTCTTCCTAACGACTACAGGAATATCCCCATTTTATAAACATTGTCTTCCTAACGACCACAGGAATATCCCCATTTTATACACATTGTCTTCTCCTAATGCACCACAGGAATATCCCCATTTTATACAGATGTCTTCCTAACAACCACAGGAATATCCCTCATTTATACAAGATTGTCTTCCCTAATGACCACAGGAATATCCCCATTTTATACAGATTGTCTTCCTAACAACTACAGGAATATCCCCATTTTATACAGATTGTCTTCCTAACAACTACAGGAATATCCCCATTTTATACAGATTGTCTTCCTAAAGACTACAGGAATATTTCCATTTTATACAGATTGTCTTCCCTATTGGGAATATCCCCATTTTATACAGATTGTCTTCCTAACAACTACAGGAATATCCCCATTTTATACAGATTGTCTACCTAGGTGACACCCATGAGGAATATCCCATTTTATACAGATTGTCTTCCTAACAACCACAGGAATATCCCCATTTTATACAGATTGTCTTCCTAACGACCACAGGAATATCCCCATTTTATACAGATTGTCTTCCTAACGACCACAGGAATATCCCCATTTTATACAGATTGTCTTCCTAACGACCACAGGAATATCCCCATTTTATACAGATTGTCTTCCTAACAACTACAGGAATATCCCCATTTTATACAGATTGTCTTCCTAACGACCACAGGAATATCCCCATTTTATACAGATTGTCTTCCTAACGACCACAGGAATATCCCCATTTTATACAGATTGTCTTCCTAACGACCACAGGAATATCCCATTTTATACAGATTGTCTTCCTAACGACCACAGGAATATCCCCATTTTATACAGATTGTCTTCCCTAATCCACCACAGGAATATCCCCATTTTATACAGATTGTCTTCCCAACGCTATCCCCATTTTATACCTAACGACCACAGGAATATCCCCATTTTATACAGATTGTCTTCCTAACGACCACAGGAATATCTCCATTTTATACAGATTGTCTTCCTAACGACCACAGGAATATCCCCAATTTCTTGAGCGGTTTCGATACAAATTTTTGTACTGTTGTCAAGCAAGATTATTGGCAGCCTTTGTTGTAAACATGCATACATAGGTTGTCAATAGATTGATATTTTTACATGCCCTTTATTGTGTGAGACGGCTTAACTACATGTAAGTATAAATAGGGAAGAGGATACCTCATTTCAAACAGAACAAGCATTGTCACTAAGGTGACATAATCCCCGCCACAAATTATCAAATCAAACTTATTAGTAATGAAAGTTTAAGTTAAATGTCAACAAAAACATGACCAGTCAACCTCTCTTGACATCTTGCTCTTTAGGTGTTCAAACACGCACATATTTTCAACACTGACTTTGACATGAATGTCATAGTGTATGAAATATGCAAAAATAGTACTAAAGAAATTGCTTATTGAAAAACATTTAAGGGAAGTCTTGAAAGTCTATGAAGAAAATCCAGTGAACCGTTCTTGAAATATCTTGCTGACAATTCAGGTTAACATGCTGAAATCTTCAAAGTGTTATTGTGACCCTGAAAATTATGTAAAGGTCACCAAAATTGACTGGGCCCTGGGCCTTCCCTAGATAAAGCTTGGTTTCAAGTATTAAGAAAATCCAGTGAACAGTTCTTGAGATAGCTTAACATGCAGGTTTACATGCTGACATCTTCAAAGTGTCGCCATGACCTTGACAATCAAGTGAAGGTCACCAAAATTGACTGGGCCCTGCGCCTTCCCTAGATAAAGCTTGGTTTCAAATATGAAGAAAATCCTGCGAACATTTCTTGAGATAGCTTAACATGCAGGTTTACATGCTGAAATCTTCAAAGTGTCCCCATGACCTTGCAAATTATGTGAAGGTCACCAAAATCGACTGGGCCCCTGCGCCTTCCATAGATAAAGCTTGGTATTGAATGTGAAGAAAATCCAGGGAACGGTTCTTCAGATAGCTTAACATGCAGGTAAAACATTAAAGTCCCCTTGTGACCTTGAAATGAAGGTCAAGGTCACCAAACCTGACCTTTCTTATACTGTGATGAACCAAGGTACCAAATGTGAAAAGAATCTAGTGAACGGTTCTTAAGATATTCCAATTCGTACGCACAGACCCTAATACTATATCCCCTGCTTCGCGCTAAACGCGCGGCGGGGGATAATGACTGAGTGAGTGAGTTGAGTTTTACGCCACACTCAGCAATAGTCCAGCTATATGGCGGTGGTCTGTAAATAATTGAGTCCTGACCAGACAACAGCATGAGCATTGATGTGCGTAGTTGGGAACCGATGACATGTATCAACCAATTCAGCGAACCTGACCACCCAATGTCATTAGTCACCTCTTATGACAAGCATGGGTTACTGAAGATCAATATTCTAACCCGGACCTTCACGGTTATCAAACAGTATGAAGAGAATCAGAATGCTGTTTAGCTCATTTACAACAAAATCAACCCATACCATTACTGTTTGTTTCTTTATTAATGCTGCCCTTTGAATTATTTCAGATATAGGTCTGCAGCTTGTATTTAACCCGGCAAACCAGTGATTGATAGCATGAGCAAACATTCCCCATTGTCAAATGCAGGCAACGTATCCGATACTGACAGGTCAACGTAGTAGCCCATACAACAAGCACAGTCTGATGAGGATAGAGCCGTTGCCTGCTTGTAAGAAGTGACTGAGTGTACGTACCTGTGAAGCCGCCTTCACTGATCTTCTCGTCCTGCAAGGAGGCGTAGTACTGTGTCTGGGTCAGCATACTGTGGAATCCCAGAACAGCTGCAACACACGAGACACGTGTAGGAAGGGAGATAACTCTGGTCGCAATTATACAGATCTGCAGTCTGGGTGTGGACACAATCAACGTATGGGCACATGTAAAAGGGGGATAGGTCTGTACAGTGACACTTACTCATGGCAGTGCAGTGTGTGTAGGAAGGGAGATAACTCTGGACGCTGATCTTTGGTGAAGTGATTCAAAACAACACTTGGACACACGTAGAAAGGGAGATAACTTGGAACACTGATGCATACTGACACTGAGGGTGGGGTGGGGAGCGACGAGAGGAAGAGTGGGGGTGGGGAGGAGGAGGAAGAGGGCGTAGCATGATAGTTTGGGGTGCATAAAGGGGGAGCATGGTTGGGGAAAGTTGTGTGGGGAGAGCATGGTGGGCGAGCATGGTTGGGTTGTGTGGAAGGTGAAGGGAACTTATTTGATGGTGGTCTGGAAATGTGTTTCCACAAGTGAGGTGAGGTGAAATGGGGTTTAACGTCGTACTTAAGAATATTTCGCTCATGTGACGACGTGCATGCGTGTGTATGTGTGGCTGCTTGTACTAGACCAGACTTTAGACTAGACTTAAACTGGTTTTATAGTGCTAGCTCACTGAAATACCATGCCGCAGTTAAGCATGAATACCCCGCTCAGACACATTATACTGACTCCGAGCCAACCAGTCCTCGATGTACCCATTAATGCCAAGCGTCAGACAGGGACCAAAAAGAACCATATTTTGACGCCCTTTTGATATGACGCGGCCGGGGATCGAACCCACGTCCTTCCGCTCTCCAAGCGGGTGCTCTAACCACTACTACCCTAAGGCGGTCGTGTGTGGAAGGGGTAGGGGGTGCGAAGATTGGGGTGTGGGCAGTGTGGATGGGGTAGGGGCGGTGTGGATGGGGTAGGGGCGTTGTAGTGTGGTGGGGGAGTGTGCTGCGGGGAACGTACCTGCCAGGTCTACCAACTCCTCCTCTGAAGCTTCTGTAAGAATGTCGTCCCACTCTGTGTCGATGTTGAAGTCGCCATCATCATTCTTTTTCTTTGGCTTTTCCTCGTCCTTCTTCTTGAACACCTTGCCTAAGCAACAATCAGACCCATGAACAAACAGAACAACAAACATACATAATTCTCACATTTGTTTCAGTACTGACACCAACACATACAATGAGAGACAGTATGTTATTTCCATTTTCCATTGTCCAATCTTTAACACAGTGTTCATCCAACAAAATATGCATAACTTCTGTAAAGTTAAATGTCTCATCTGTGACTTAGGCCTAGTTCGCAAAACAATGACATCTGTCTCTACGATATAAAAAGTAAACCCTGGCAGAGATGCAAATGGTCGGAGTTTACCTTTGGTTTCCTTGACGTAGGCCTTGTTTTGCTCCCAGTCCTTCTCCTGCTTGGCCTGATTCTCAATGAACTTGAGCAGCTTCTGGCGGTTGAAGGGTCCAGTTGGGTCCTTGCTAGTCTGGTCCCTGCATCTCAGGTTGGGCGGCAGCAGGGAGTTCTGACAACAAAAGGGCATTATAGTAGTGTCAGCTGACAATAGAAGGGCATTGTAGTGGTGTCAGCTGACAACAGAAGGGCATTGTAGTGGTGTCAGCTGACAACAGAAGGGCATTGTAGTGGTGTCAGCTGACAACAGAAGGGCATTGTAGTGGTCTCAGCTGACAACAGAAGGGCATTGTAGTGGTGTCAGCTGACAACAGAAGGGCATTGTAGTGGTGTCAGCTGACAACAGAAGGGCATTGTAGTGGTGTCAGCTGACAACGGAAGCATTGTAGTGGTGTCAGCTGACAATAGAAGGGCATTGTAGTGGTGTCAGCTGACAACAGAAGGGCATTGTAGTGGTGTCAGCTGACAACAGAAGGGCATTGTAGTGGTGTCAGCTGACAACAGAAGGGCATTGTAGTGGTGTCAGCTGACAACGGAAGGGCATTGTAGTGGTGTCAGCTGACAATAGAAGGGCATTGTAGTGGTGTCAGCTGACAACAGAAGGGCATTGTAGTGGTGTCAGCTGACAACAGAAGGGCACTGTAGTAGTGTCAGCTGACAACAGAAGGACATTGTACTAGTGTCAGCTGACAACAGAGGGGCATTGTAGAGGTGTCAGCTGACAACAGAAGGGCATTGTAGTAGTGTCAGCTGACAACAGAAGGGCAATGTAGTGGTGTCAGCTGACAATAGAAGGGCATTGTAGTGGTGTCAGCTGACAACAGAAGGGCATTGTAGTGGTGTCAGCTGACAACAGAAGGGCATTGTAGTGGTGTCAGCTGACAACAGAAGGGCATTGTAGTGGTCTCAGCTGACAACAGAAGGGCATTGTAGTGGTGTCAGCTGACAACAGAAGGGCATTGTAGTGGTGTCAGCTGACAACAGAAGGGCATTGTAGTGGTGTCAGCTGACAACGGAAGGGCATTGTAGTGGTCTCAGCTGACAACAGAAGGGCATTGTAGTGGTGTCAGCTGACAACAGAAGGGCATTGTAGTGGTGTCAGCTGACAACAGAAGGGCACTGTAGTAGTGTCAGCTGACAACAGAAGGACATTGTACTAGTGTCAGCTGACAACAGAGGGGCATTGTAGAGGTGTCAGCTGACAACAGAAGGGCATTGTAGTAGTGTCAGCTGACAACAGAAGGGCAATGTAGTGGTGTCAGCTGACAACAGAAGGGCATTGTAGTGGTGTCAGCTGACAACAGCAAGGCATTATAGTAGTGTCAGCTGACAACAGAAGGGCATTGTAGTGGTGTCAGCTGACAACAGAAGGGCATTGTAGTAGTGTCAGCTGACAACAGAAGGGCATTGTAGTGGTGTCAGCTGACAACAGAAGGGCATTGTAGTGGTCTCAGCTGACAACAGAAAGGCATTGTAGTGGTGTCAGCTGACAACAGAAGGGCAATGTAGTGGTGTCAGCTGACAACAGAAGGGCATTGTAGTGGTGTCAGCTGACCACAGAAAGGCATTATAGTAGTGTCAGCTGACAACAGAAGGGCATTGTAGTGGTGTCAGCTGACAACAGAAGAGCATTGTAGTAGTGTCAGCTGACAACAGAAGGGCATTGTAGTGGTGTCAGCTGACAACAGAAGGGCATTGTAGTGGTCTCAGCTGACAACAGAAAGGCATTGTAGTAGTGTCAGCTGACAATAGAAGGGCATTGTAGTAGTGTCAGCTGACAACAGAATGGCATTGTAGTGGTGTCAGCTGACAACAGAAGGGCATTGTAGTGGTGTCAGCTGACAACAGAAGGGCAATGTAGTGGTGTCAGCTGACAACAGAAGGGCATTATAGTAGTGTCAGCTGACAACAGAAAGGCATTGTAGTAGTGTCAGCTGACAACAGAAGGGCATTGTAGTGGTGTCAGCTGACAACAGAAGGGCATTGTAGTGGTGTCAGCTGACAACAGAAGGGCATTGTAGTGGTGTCAGCTGACAAGAGAAGGGCATTGTAGTGGTGTCAGCTGACAACAGAAGGGCATTGTAGTGGTGTCAGCTGACAACAGCAAGGCATTATAGTAGTGTCAGCTGACAACAGAAGGGCATTGTAGTGGTGTCAGCTGACAACAGAAGGGCATTGTAGTAGTGTCAGGCTGACAACAGAAGGGCATTGTAGTGGTCAGCTGACAACAGAAGGGCATTGTAGTGGTCTCAGCTGACAACAGAAAGGCATTGTAGTGGTGTCAGCTGACAACAGAAGGGGCAATGTAGTGGTGTCAGCTGACAACAGAAGGGCATTAGTAGCAGTGTCAGCTGACCACAGAAAAGGCATTATAGTAGTGTCAGCTGACAGAAGGGCATTGTAGTGGTGTCAGCTGACAACAGAAGAGCATTGTAGTAGTGTCAGCTGACAACAGAAGGGCATTGTAGTGGTGTCAGCTGACAACAGAAGGGCATTGTAGTGGTCTCAGCTGACAACAGAAAGGCATTGTAGTAGTGTCAGCTGACAATAGAAGGGCATTGTAGTAGTGTCAGCTGACAACAGAATGGCATTGTAGTGGTGTCAGCTGACAACAGAAGGGGCATTGTAGTGGTGTCAGCTGACAACAGAAGGGCAATGTAGTGGTGTCAGCTGACAACAGAAGGGCATTATAGTAGTGTCAGCTGACAACAGAAAACATTGTAGTAGTGTCAGCTGACAACAGAAGGGCATTGTAGTGGTGTCAGCTGACAACAGAAGGGCATTGTAGTGGTGTCAGCTGACAACAGAAGGGCATTGTAGTGGTGTCAGCTGACAAGAGAAGGGCATTGTAGTGGTGTCAGCTGACAACAGAAGGGCATTGTAGTGGTGTCAGCTGACAACAGAAGGGCATTGTAGTGGTGTCAGCTCAGCTGACAACAGAAGGGCATTGTAGTAGTGTCAGCTGACAACAGAAGGGCATTGTAGTAGTGTCAGCTGACAACAGAAGGGCATTGTAGTGGTGTCAGCTGACAACAGAAGGGCATTGTAGTGGTGTCAGCTGACAACAGAAGGGCATTGTAGTAGTGTCAGCTGACAACAGAAGGGCATTGTAGTGGTGTCAGCTGACAACAGAAGGGCATTGTAGTGGTGTCAGCTCAGCTGACAACAGAAGGGCATTGTAGTGGTGTCAGCTGACAACAGAAGGGCATTGTAGTAGTGTCAGCTGACAACAGAAGGGCATTGTAGTGGTGTCAGCTGACAACAGAAGGGCATTGTAGTGGTGTCAGCTCAGCTGACAACAGAAGGGCATTGTAGTGGTGTCAGCTGACAACAGAAGGGCATTGTAGTGGTGTCAGCTGAGCTGACAACAGAAGGGCATTGTAGTAGTGTCAGCTGACAACAGAAGGGCATTGTAGTAGTGTCAGCTGACAACAGAAGGGCATTGTAGTAGTGTCAGCTGACAACAGAAGGGCATTGTAGTAGTGTCAGCTGACAACAGAAGGGCATTGTAGTGGTGTCAGCTGACAAGAGAAGGGCATTGTAGTGGTGTCAGCTGACAACAGAAGGGCATTGTAGTGGTGTCAGCTGACAACAGAAGGGCATTGTAGTGGTGTCAGCTCAGCTGACAACAGAAGGGCATTGTAGTAGTGTCAGCTGACAACAGAAGGGCATTGTAGTAGTGTCAGCTGACAACAGAAGGGCATTGTAGTGGTGTCAGCTGACAACAGAAGGGCATTGTAGTGGTGTCAAATGACTACAGGGGTGTTGTGATTTGCAGAATAGCCATATTCCATATACAAAGAAAGCTCATCTTCGAGTTTGACAAATGCATGGAACTTCTTGGGATGACTGACTGACTGAGTTTGGTTTTACGCCTCTTTTAGCAATATTCCAGCAACATCACGGCAAGGGACACCAGAAATGGGCTTCACACATTATACCCATGTGGGGATTCGAACCCGGGTCTTTGTCGTGACGAGCGAACGCTTTAACCATTAGGCTACCCCACCGCCCCTTCTTGGGATGAGGCAGTGGTAACACTTCTGAAACCAAGCTACCATTGTGAAGACAAAACACAACTACATAACCAGCTTCAATGACAGGACACTCACATCAGGGTCAAAATCTCCATTGAGTTCCTCCAACTCCTCTGCTGTGAGCTGAGTCAGCAGATCGTCCAGGTCCTCCAACTCGATGTCTGGGACATCCTTGTCCTTCTCCTTGTTTAGAATAGCCGACATCGCAGAGGTCAGATCTGAAACACAAAACACATATATGTTCATAGCGATAACTCCATGGAACACATGCCACTACCTATACAATTAGGTACCACTATGACACAATATAACTACGGTGTCATTCTTTTTCAATAAAATCGCAACTGTCCAACATGTTTACCATGCACTATCAGGTTGGCCATTTACCATCAGTGAGTGAGTGAGTATAGGTTTACGCCGCTAGCATGGTTTTAGCAATATTGAGACTGGGGGACACCAGAAATGGGCTTCACACATTGTACACATGTGGGGAATTGAACCTAAGTGTTCAGCATGACGAGCGACAGCTTTAACCACTAGGCTACCTCACCACCCCCATTTACCATCAGAGTGGCTGTGCCAGGACCATCTTTCACCAAGAGACCATCCAATTATCCAGTCTTCTTCCCCATCAACATGTACAACAAACTGCTGGGGGGGTAGGGAGGAGGGATTACAACAGGCATATTACGATGGTGACTGGTACTGGGATGGCTCTTCATACCAACCATTACACACCTAACTGTGACAAGATAACAAGTACCTGAACAATGTGTCATGGGACAGGTTTGGAAGAGGGGGTATGAATGAGTGTTTTCAGGTCAGGGCTTGTCAAGAAGGGGTAGGATCAGGACTGTTGCCACAAATCATATGAATTGACATTCTTGTCAAAGCTCTGAGAACATATTTCAACAGAGTATTATATATATCTTGAGCCTTGCAATTGGCATGATTTTACACGAAGGTTGGAACCGCGGAGAGGGTTCTATATTTCACAGGCTTGGGCAATATGAATTAGAGGGAGTGAAATATAGTCATTTCATGCTATAATAAGTGATATGAAACATAACTCAATCCTTAAAAACACTGAATCCGCCTCGTAAGTCACTGTGTGGTGAATAGGGATAGTAGACAGGCTGACACTGGATCTGAAAATGTTCATTTGGTTCATCACGGAACACAAGTATGTGCTGCTTAAGACAGAACTAAGCTCATGTGTCCAGCCATGCTGTTCTCTCAGACAGTAATGACAGTGTAGAATTAAGGACACAGTTGTCAGAACATTAGCCTGGAACCCCCTTACTGCTTCTGTGTGTCAGTCAACTGTAATTCAATCCCTAAAACAATTCCAACAACTCCAAGGACAAACGTCATTTCTAACCATCTGGATGTGACACAGGAAAATGTCCAAACTTACCAGCCATTTTGAAAGTTTGCTTGTTTAGCTGTGGTGATGGATAGTTGTATAAGCCAAGGGAGAGGTAATCCCACCACACTGAGGGAAACACAGCAGACTTAGCTGCTCTACCTATGATGCAAAGAACAAGCCAAGCACTGCCAGTGCAGTGGGCTGAGTACTGGGGCTCCCCATCCATGGGCAGAACAGTGTTACTTGCACAATTATATTATAGGATCACGAATCAATTTCCAGAGTGAGTGAGTGAGTGAGTGAGTGAGTGAGTGAGTGAGCAACGGAGTGAGTGAGTGAGTGAGCAACGTGAGTGAGTGAGTGAGCAAGCATGCAATGGCAGCAATATTGCCATGGTTGTTTGAAATTAAATCAGAGTCTAAATTACACTTTTTGAAAAAAGAAAAGACATCTAATTGTCAGATCAATTCTGGGTTTATGAGAAAAGATTGATGAAATTGATGATGCCATTTCTGCTTAAATATGTCAAAAACATCCACACAGGTGCTTGTGGTCCATTGACATGAATGGGCGCTATGCAGTTATGGGAGTTGTCAGGCATGTTATCGTCTCTTTCATCCAGGCCTTTCTCTTAAGCAAAGGCCCAATACAACTTTACATTTCCCTCAGGTTCAGATACACCCACTTGGGCTCCTTTTCAATTAAAATGAAGTTATGTTTTTGCCAAAATAATATATTTTCCCGAAACGAAGCACTAGTCAAACACTGGTGATGCCATCAACCTAACGGTTAACTTGGTACCAAACAAGGGGTGAGTGAGTGAGTTTAGTTTTACGCCGCACTCAGCAATATTCCAGCTATATCGCAGCGGTCTATAAAAATAATCGAGTCTGGACCAGACAATCCAGTGATCAACAGCATGAGCATCGATCTGCGCAATTGGGAACTGATGACATGTGTCAACCAAGTCAGTGAGTCTAACCACCCAATCCCGTTAGTCACCTCTTATGACAAGCATGGGTTACTGAAGACCAGTATTCGAACCCAGACCTTCACAGGTACCAAGCAAGAAAATGCTGAAATAGTGCTGATGTAACGTTGAATTTTAACTCATTCACCACCAGGAAATGTCGCTAGTCCTTTCGAAATTCTGCTTAATGCAGACTAATGGACTAAGGTGTCCATTTTATTCTTGGATATCGTTGGGTCATGAACAAATCACATCCATTCTTTACAGTCATTGAAAACTTCTAATTAAGGGTATTTTTATGTATTTATCATGTATATATAAGTTCTCTAGTCAAGATAGGGGCTGAAATTCTGATAATGGGACTTCAAAATTTAACTCACTGACTTAAGAGATAACATTTCAAATTTCTTCCTCTACATAAGTCCTCCTTCCCCATCAGGAGCCTCAATTCTTCCAAACCATCTATATTTACCAAGGAATCAGTGATATGTACTCATTAGTCATTAACCTCATTATAAGGCCACAACTAAAATCAAACCATGTCAACCCATTAACCCCCTCACCAGGTATTCAGCCAGAGGCCTTCCATACAGCATTGTTAGTTTCTAAACCCATCACTAATAAACCTGAACGTGACATTGTCAGGTTAGTTACCAAGTTCCCACTATAGTGAGGAGGACCAGAATACACCTATGGTGTGGGACATCTCAAAACCATATGTTTAGGTTTAATGTCATAAACAAAGTGCTCCCTCTCATCAGTAGTGATGGTTGGGAGGCTCCACAGGGGGGGCTCACTGATGAGCCGCATCTCCATGTTATCTTGTAGTCTTGCATTAAAGACATGATGGTAATCAGAATGAAGCATAAACGCCAAGGAGTTAATGTCATAACCCTAATTTCTAAGGCTAAAATTTCAGGTGATTCCAAGATTTAAATACCATAGAAAAAAACATGAAGGACCCCAATTTTGAACATAACCGTGTAGGAGGCAAATGATAAGTACTGATAGAGGCTGTTATACTGGAGATATCAGGGTCATTATTGGATTAGAATTCATATCTAATGTCATTAATAATCAATTAACTAATTAATTAATTAACATTTTGCTCTCATTCCTTGATATCAACCACAATGAACGTCATGACATGGACTGCCTGACTGAGTTTGGTTTTACGCCGCTTTTAGCAATATTCCAGCAACATCACGGCAGGGGACACCAGAAATGGGCTTCACACATTGTGCCCATGTGGGGATTCGAACCCGGGTCTTGGCGGACGAGCCAACGCTTTAACCATTAGGCTACCATGGAGAGTAACACAAGATTTTGTTGTGTTATGGAACAGTTTACATAGTTTAGGATGTGGAAAGGATAAACAAAAATCACCAATGCATAGCATGAGAATGACAAGGAGACATCAGTCTGAGAAACAGTATTAAGTTAAATATCATCATTACTTCATAAACATCGAACTGTTGAAAATGATCAAATTACAAGGTTTTTCATTCCACCACAACTTTGTCATTATACCTGTATCAGAATGCAGTATATTTTGCAATAGGATTTTTTTATTGTAAAAAAAGTCATGCTGTCATAGTTAAATTGATTATAGAAATCAAGAATTAAAATGAAAATTGGAAGTGATTGAAGATGGAGCAGTACATCTGTACAAGGCCCCAGATTATTTTTGGCAGGTCTTGGCAACATAGCATCATCCAAGAAGTCGGCAGGAAACCTGAGCTGTTGCACTGAACACTTGGAGAGGCTGGTAATAGCTCTTGATCTCTACTCAGCTGCACTTGCTTCAAAACCAAGGACAGGTAGAGACTGGAGTTTTGAAGATTTAAATATTGACGGAAGGGATTCACTCTTGGATATATCAACATGCAGATGGATCTGACATTCCAGGGGAAGCTTCTCAGGTTGGTCAATGTGGTTGTATAGAAGCTTTGTTAGAAGTTTGTGTGAGAAGCATGTCATACATTAGACTCCTCACTGGGCTGGGTGTTAAACGGTAGCAGCCATGAGTTAAGGAAATGTATGTTCTCCTTAAGTCTTACTGTCCAGCTTGAGGGAGTGTTGGGGCAGCAGGGTGGTAAACTACTGCAGTCATATCACAGCAGGATCAATCCTGGCACCAGTAAACCACACTAAATGATGTTACAGGCTGAACACAGTACAGTCAACATGTGTCATCAGAGGGGGTCATACAAACCATGTCTATCTCACACAGGCACAAATAAGACATGTCTAAAAATTTTATTCCTGGTTTGTTGTAAGAGGCGACTTATGGGATTGGGTGGCCGGGCTCGCTGGCTCCATTAACACGTCATCGTATCCCAACTGTGTAGATTGATGCTCATGCTGTTGATCACTGGATTTTCTGGCCCAGACTCGATTATTTACAGACTTCAGCCATATAGCTGGAATATTGTTGCGTGCTGCATTAAACAAGCAAACAAACAAAAACTAGGTTCTTTTTATCATATTTCTTCGGACATGACAGCAAACTGGATTATATACACTTAAGTCTGGTTCAGACAAACCCAAAAAGGTACAATGGGTGAACGATGTCCCCTACATTTACATGTACACCAGTCTATACTATAGGTATGGTCTCACCCTGTAAAACTTGAAATTTCAGTTTAGGCCAGACCAATTTTATTTCTTGTTTTAAGGATTTTTGTCCTCAGAAAACCTAAAGGCAGGAGAAAAATAATAATAAACAAGAAGACAAAGTCATCAATATCCCCCTCAATGGCAAAATACTCTTCATGATTATGTCTACGAGTTATGATTATGTCAAATATTTAGGTGTGTATATAGAAAAGTGGAAGGAGAGTATTGAAAGGTTTTTAAAGTTCTGCTCCAGAAAGGAGCACTATCACCAATTTTAGTCTATGTCAAACTTGTTGCCATGGAAATGTCAAAAATATCTTATTCAGAATTACAAAACTACCAAAAGGCACCAGTACACCACCAGATCTATCTATGTGCCAAGTTTGGTGAAGAAATAGTGAACGGTTTTAGAGTTCTGCTCCGGAAAAGAGCACTCCCACTAATTTCAGTCTAAGTCGAACTTGTTGCCATGGAAACGCCAAAAATGTTTTTTTCAGAATTCCAAAACTACCAAAAGGCACCAGTACACCACTAGATCTATCTATGTGCCAAGTTTGGTGAAGAAATAGTAAACGGTTTTCGAGTTCTGCTCCGGAAAAGAGCACTACCACTAATTTCATTGTAAGTCGAACTTGTTGCCATGGAAATGTCAAAAATGTTTTTTTCAGAATTCCAAAACTACCAAAAGGCACCAGTACACCACCAGATCTATCTATGTGCCAAGTTTGGTGAAGAAATATTGAACGGTTTTAGAGTTCTGCTCCGGAAAAGATAAATATGCACGGACGGACGGACGTGTTGCGGGGGATAAAAAAAATATAAAAATTACTAAAAGTACTTTAATTTTGGCAATTTATGAAGTGTATATGGGTTAAAGCACAATCTAAAATAAAATTTCTTTTACATTTACATGTCTGACCAATAAAACATTAGGATATTATTTGGGGAAAATTAACTTTTATTTTTTTCTTATTCTTGAAAAAATATGACAGGCGAATCCGTAAAACAAGAAAAAAACTTGGTCTGGCCTTAGTTTATTAAGCAAGAGTCATAGAAGCTTACTGTACAATAGGCTATAAATGAATGTTATGAAATATCAAGTCCATGGCTAAATGAGAAATGACAGTTTTATAGTCCAACACGGCAGGTATTCCAGTGCATCAAGTTATTCATCAGTTTTTATCAAAATACTAAATAGGGTCACAAATAAAGTGACCTTTGAAATATAACATAAAAAAAAAAAAAACATTTTTAAGAGATAAAGGGACTATTTCATCATAATTATTATATAAACGTGATACACTTGAAGAAATGTCCCATTATACACTGATACTTGAGCTATGTGGTGCTGCACACTCTGATGTACACGGTAACCTGCTCTAGGTGTTAAACAGGGCACTCATTTAGCACTAGGGCTGCAACGAATACACTATGTGGCGAATATGATACGTATCATGAATATTGGGTAACGAATACGATTAATTATTCACGAATACAATATTGTAGTTAAGTGATTGATGTACAGTATGGAACGCACATGTTGACAGTTTTGATTTGTCACAGCAATAACCAGTGATCACAT